AGTATGTGGTTGTGTATTCTGATAGTCAATCATCCATACATCTATGTAAGAATCCTATTTTTCACGAACGCACTAAACATATCGATGTTAGGTTATACTTCATTAGGGATATAATATCACAAGAAGTAATAAGACTTGAAAAAATTCACACACAGTATAATCCTTCAGATATGGGCACGAAAGTGCTGCCACTGGTAAAGTTTAGAAGTTGCAAAGTGCTTCTAAACGTTGGTACAGGTAAATGATTTCAATTTTATCGATTTTTCTGTTAGAGGTGTCACTAATGGAAAAACATTTTCCTTTGCAGGTCCTTTGACACCAAGGTGGAGGTTTTTAGACATGATGTTGTCAAACGACCTCCCGGGCGATGATGAGAACCAATTTTATCAGTCTACATGAATGACTGAACGATAATTCAACATCGAATAATGGATGAACCTATATATATATATATATATATAGGTGTTTTTCTTTGACTCCTAACCCGTCCATATAGAACCCGAGAGCAAAAGAGAGACTGCCGTGTTCTTCTTCTGCCTTCTTCTTCGTGATTTGTCTTCCATGCCAATTGCTTGAGCCTTTTGTGACTCTTACCTGTGTTATATCCATCCTAAGTGTGTGGATTGAATCAACAAGCAAAAGAGGAAAGCAACCATAGGAGAAGAGGCGCCGACGGGTTTGGTCACCTTTGGTTTTGGTGTTGAATTCGATGTTTAATGGTTAACTGAGCCCGAAAATCACTTTGAGCAGCTTAAGGAAGATCCTAACAGGCATCACCCCTACTTGTTGATGTATCACCCTTCTTTGGTAGGGATCAAAATTAAAATTTTTAGTATATTTTGATAAAATTTAATGAAATGTATCGCTCAAAAGTTACGAGTCCCATTAAATATGTAATTGAAATTAAATGTTGAATTAGACTAAGAATAATTCCCACTAAATGTGGCATAATCTCATTTCAACTTATATGATTACATATCCATCTATTGTACTATCTTGTAATGCATATTAGCATACCAAACTTAAAGTGCATCTTAAAAAAACCAATTCAGCATTCAGAAAACAATTCAGAATAGTACAAAGACAGGCTGTTAATTGCACAGATCAATTAAAAATGCTTTAATTGTTAACAAATACCATATTAGCAGATGCTGACTATCACTATGTCGAGTTTCTAATTATGAAAATTGTGTACGTGTCATGACTTCAATAACAAATGTTTGTGGACTGTTTGTGACAGCCAGAGGCAAATGGAGGAAAGCTCAGGCCCACTCCTCAAGCCCAATTTTTTTTTTAAGGTAAAATTTTTGGTAAAAAAATAAATTTCAATTGAAGTTTTTTCAATGTATCAGCTCATTAGAAAAAAAATTTGTTCCCCAAAGCTCCGCCCTTATGATCGTGTTAAAGAGTTAAAATTAATAATTTTGTTTGCTATTTAATAAGTTAAGCTTTTAGAAGAGGTTGTTTGAGAGAGAATTGGAAATTGTGAGGATCACCTTCTCCGAGAGCCAAATTGTAGTAAAGATCGACAATGTTGGGACAGTTCTAGTAATACTGCGGTGAGCATAGCTTGGCAATGAATTGAGTGTCAAGAAGGGCATCTGATGAGATCCTCGTTGATTTTCGATCAACCCCACATGAACTCATGCATTCGTCAGCCTCAATATACTCGTACTAGTTAACAGCAACAACTTCAGATGTCTCGCACTGGAAATCCCAAGTTCCATCATTTGATGAGTACGTCTCTAACAGGCATCGCTTCCTGGAAGACGTAATTGAGAATGAACACAATCCAACTGGCAATTCCTCGCATAATAATTCCCCTGCATCCAAGAAGGAAGAGAAACAAAAAATGTTAGTCATTACACGGGATTGGTCAATAGATAGAGCAAACTAATTGAATTACTCATGTTGTAGATTACTGAGAGCTCCTTGGAGGAAGGTGGTAGCAGCAAGGAACATGGAAAATTTCGTTTTAGCACAGAAGCTTGATTTGTACTTAAAAAAAGTTTGGCTTGATTATGTTGGGAATGGACTTAAGTTATATGCTTGCAGAGAGTACATGGAGAAGATGGTGTATATATATATATATTGTATTTGTGTCTCTGTTATTTGGGGGGGGAGGCAGGGAGGGTAGGGTGCTTAACAAACTGATATTTTAATGGTATTGTATTAGTCTTTGAGATGTACTTTGTCATAACATATGGAGTTCGATTGAAGGAATCTTTGTCTGTTTCGCTTATGTTCTGTAAGACTTCTTATAATAATAATGTCTGTTTTACATTTAAACACACATTTGATGTGTTCGAGGTAATTTTGCACTTACGTAGTTGCCAACAAATTGAAGTGATGCTGACAGAGTAAGTTGATGGAATAATGTGTTGGGTTTTGAAACCCAATAAATTCAGGCAATGATTTAAAATAGATATCGGACAATTTATCGACACCATAGATTTGGCTCAACCCAGAAACAACTGACAATTTTGCAGGGCCCAAGTTGTAGTTGTAATTGTTGAGTTGGATTTTTATATATGTAGAGCCATTTGTTGGAAGGCCCAAAATTGGCGACCTAATTGATCCATTATATATCTTCATTCCAACAGCAGTGTTTGTGGATTGACTTACAATAGAGAGGAGAGTCAGTGAGAGAGAGGTAGCCGACTCCATTGATCCTTCATGGGTTAGAAGAGGGCAACCGCGTGAGAGTGAATACTTGAGGCAACCAAAATGTTGGTTTGGTTTGGGTCGAGCTTGTCAATTGACATTCGTGTTCAGTTGGTTTTTTAAAGCTTGGATCAAGATTTCTCAAGGAGCTTGTACAACATAATGAACAAAGTAATTGACATGCTTTGCGTAGTGAGAAAGAAGCTTTTGTCCATAAAAGTGATAAAATATCAGTAAAACTAGTTAATAAATAAAAATATAGATCAAGATTGACCTGGCTTAGTTTTTTTGTTGTTGGAGCCGTACACATCAATATTTTGCTCAATAACCTCAAATTTAATCATTTGATTAACTATGCAAAGAATCATGTTTAGTTCATTAACAATCCTTAACATTCCATTCTGCCCCCCAAAGACCCATACAAGAGATACCATTGCTCACAGGCAAGGCAGAGTACCAAAAAAATAGTAATTTATAATAATTTTTTGATAAGAGGAAAATAAGAACACATTTTTTTCCCCCGGAGGATTTATTTTTCTTTTACAATTTGTTTGGTAAGTATACTTAAGAGATTTGACCATATTACAACAACAACAACAATTATAATAAACCAAGTTTGATATTCCCATACTGTTGAAATTCTTATCTTCGCTTGATCAACTAAGAGATCTAACTAGATAAGTGAAACTAACACAAACCTACTTGATTTTTATCTTAACTTTTTTATCTTCTAACTTGCTCCACTAAAATTGCCTTCTCTTATGAGAGAAACCTCTTTGGATTGACGTAAAATATGTCCCAACTACCTAAGCCCTTCATACTTAATTTATCCTCATCCGGCACTGCTCCTGCTTGTTGAATTATCACACTTGTTTGGTAGGGATTAAAATTAAAAATTTAGCATTTTTTGATAAATTTTAATGAAATGTACGGTTTAAAATAAAATCTTGATTTTAATTCCCATTAAATATATGGTTGAAATTATTTTTTGAATTAAACTCAGAATAAAATCTTGATTTTAATTCCCACTAAATGTGGCATAATCTCATTTCAACTTAATATGATTACATATCCATCTATTGTATTATCTTGTAATGCATATTAGCATACCAATCTAAAGTGTGTCATAAGAAAACCAATTCAGCATTCAGAAACCAATTCAGAATAGTACAAATAGAGGCAACTTTACCTGTGCGGTGCTTCCAAATAACCAAATACCATACATTATGCCAAAATACCTCTCAAACACTACCATTACCGTGTCATCTTGTTATGCCCCCACCCCACCCCATAAACTTACTATAAAAACCGTCTTCTGCATGTAAGTTCTGCAAGAAATCACTTCACTCCATTGCCAACATCATCAACCCACAAGAAAAATCAACTCTTCCAAAGCAAAAAATCAAGCTTCTGTAGAAAAATGAAAATGATCGTCTTCCTTGCCTTTGCTCTCTTCCTCCAGGGAGCCCTTGGTATCCACAATACGAATTCTTCCATTAATTTGCTCGAACTATTGTCTGATCTCGTTCTGAACTATTGTCTGATCTCGTTCTGACTAACAATTTTATTTCTCTTCTTTCTTCAATGCAGGGGAATTAATCTGTGAGGAATTGCCTGTTGGATTGTGTTCGTTCTCAATCGCATCCTCTGGTAAGCGATGCCTGTTAGAGACTTACGCATCAAATGATGGAACTATGGACTTCCAATGCAAGACATCTGAAGTGGTTGCTATTAACTTGCACGATTATATTGAGGCTGATGAATGCATGGATGCATGTGGGGTCGATAGGAAATCTGTCGGGATCTCATCCGACACCCTCCTCGACTCTCAGTTCACCGCCAAGCTATGCTCACCACAGTGTTACCTGAACTGTCCCAACATTGTGGATCTTTACTACAATTTGGCTCTCGGAGAAGGTGATCTTCACAACCCCCAATTCCCCAAAACAACCTCTTGTAAAAGTTTAACTTATTAATTATCGAACAATTTTATTAATTATAGGTTTCAACACGACCACTATCATGAACAGCCCGTAAAAAATTTTTTTTATTGAAGTCATGATATGTAAATAATTTTCATAAATGGGAACTCGATGCAGTGATAGTTTGCCTCTTTTAAATGGTATTTGCTAACAATTGACAGGAGCATTTTTACCTGATCTGTGCAAATCTCAAAGAGCAAATTCACGTCGTTCAATGGCTCAGATTCAAAGTTCTGGTACAGCTTTTGGCCCTATTTCTGCTGCTGCTGGTCCAATGTCTGCTGCTTCTCCTTTTCCTTTTCCTTCTCCATCTTCATCTCTTGATTGTGCTCCAGCTCCGATGTAAATACATCCCTATTTGATATGCAGTATTAGAGGAATAGATAATATAATGAACAAGATTTTAGTTTATTTTTGTTCATATCTAAAACTATCCAATCCTCTTACCGAATGTAATTTCATTTGATATAGCAGTTGTAATTATATATTATTTAATGAAAGTGGACTATATCTGATCATGCATATACTCCTCTTTGTTTTTCTTCAGTTATTTGATCAACAGAATTTATACTACAGTGTATGAATTTAATTTAATTTTTTTTTTATATATTCCCACAAAAGAATTTAGATTGGGGCACTCAATAATACTAAAAAATAAAAATCGTGTAGGATACAATTCGTGAAAAATTATGAATTAATTTAATAAATCAAATCAACGGACCTCCAACAGCAAGTGAAAGACTTGAAAACAAATGAAAATTTATGTTTCGATCCAAAAAGCACTTTGAAGACAGTTGACAAACAGCTGTTATATTTGTCCCTTCAAATGGATGAATTAGGCTAAGATAGAAGTTGGGCCATATAGATGTGAAGTTGTGCCTTCAAATGGATGAATCGCATTCGAGTATACTTTGCATTTGAATCGCATTTAATTTGAAAACTCAAGGCTAATTCTCTTAAACGATGCGAACTTATGGTTCATAATCATGTGAATGCATTCTAAACTAGCCGTTTATTTTGAATTCTTGTGTGTTTTCATGAAAAGTTCGCAACTTTCCAAGAAAAGTTGGCGCCAATTCATGGCTTGTGGTTGGAAATCTATAAATATGGGAACGTCTTTCAACTCTAAATACAAAAAATCATCCTTCACTTTGAGTGATATAATTTCAATTCTTATGTACACATTAAAATTCTTTGAAGTTTTCACCAAGTTCTTGGAAGAATCACTTTGAGTGAAATAATTGTTTTATGCAATCCACATTAGCATTTGAGATTTTCTGAGCCTCTACTTCCTCTCTCTTTCTCAATTCTCAGGAACTGCTCACCCTCTTTCACATCCAATAGATCGAGGTTATCCGTCATCAGCAGCCTATAGGCATCTCTTATTCTTTAACATCTCTTTACTATTTGGGGTAATTTTCAATCATTTTAGAGCAGCAGTTTTTTGCAATGAATCTTGTCCAAAGACTCGTTTAGGCAATCAAATTGTTAATCAATGGTTGAATGATAATTTTGTTGAATTTATTAAGAGTGATATATTTAACAAAATTTATTAAAATATACATATACGACGTTTTTAAAATATGAGAATGTGTTCGCAATAACTATAATAACGTATCAAAATGTATTCATTATTAATCCACTTTTTCAATTTTTTTATTATTATTTTTTATTTTGCTTAACTTTCGTCCACTCATAGAAAAATTCCTGAATCCGTCAATATCGAAAAGAAATTGAGAGGATACTTGTATTTTTGTAACAAATAAGGCTAATTACCATATAAAATATATTTAATTTCAGAACTAGACAAAATATTAGAGATTTTTTTAGATAAATGAAAGTATGATACTGAGATATTTGATGGAGTAAAGCTTTAGTATAAATAAAGTTGAAGCCTAGACTAGTAGCGGCTGTACCTCTAGCTAATTTTGTGGATTAATCCATGCTTATATGTCATCAATTTAATTAGAGAAATTAGGTGATGGTTTTTACAGTGAACAGATTTAGATGGTTTAGTGTATTTATGTGGAGTATATTTTGATGATGAAAATAGCAGGGAGTGATTTAATTTGAAGGAGGAAAATATAATTTATTAAAAATATATTTTACAAAGTGGATGAAGAAGTATTAAGATGGCTGAAGCCTTGTAATAGAGCAGGCTGGAGGCTTTTTTCACTTATACACATTTGAATCCAACATCATATATTTATATGCCTCCAATGTTGGTTGCCAAATCGCTAGATAATTCTACATTTTTATTTATTAATTTTGCTTGCTTCCCAAGTTAATCAAGAGAATTCTAATATTTTATTTATTTACTGTTTTTCCTTTCTGTCCAAGATACTCTAGTTTGTTCTAGAAATAGGCATCACCAATTTTATCACTCCTCCTTGATTCTTATCTCGGTAATTCCAATCATTTTCTGTCATACTTCGAACTTTGCTCGTGGTAGAGCCTTCGTGAAAATATATATTAATTTTTCTTCAGTTTTGTAATGTTTGAACTCTATCTCTTTTTTCGCTTTAACAGACATAAGACCAGCAGTGAATCTGAACCATTGAATGTCACGAATTTGTTCGTCGAGATTTGCGTAATCAAGTAAAAATGCTCTTGTTAATTGATATCAAATACCATATCAGCAGTAGCAGACTCAAATTCATTGCATCGAGTTTCCATTTATGAAAATTATGTATGTGTCATGACTTCAATAAAATTGTCTATGGGCTGTTCATGAGAAGGGTAAAATTAATGAATTTGTTCACTATTTAATAAGTTAAGAGGAAGAGTTGGAGGCTGTGAAGATCACCTCCTCCGAGAGCCAAATTGTAGTAAAGATCGACAATGTTGGGATAGTTCTGGTAACACTGCGGTGAACATAGCTTGGCAGTGAATTGAGAGTCCACGAGAGTGTCTGATCAGATCCCGACAGATTTTCTATCGACCTACATGATCTCATGCATTCATCAGCCGCAAGTTAATTGCAATCACTTCACATGTCTTACACTGGAAATCCATAGTTCCTTTGTTACGCGCATGCCATGAAATGTATAGATATAACATATATAGATATTAGGCAAAGATCTAGTGTTCGAATCTTAATAATGAGATAGAAATTCATGAAGGGTAAGACGGGTTTAGGCTTACCTAGAGTGGACAGTATATACATTAACGGCTAGGGCATAGAGGCTGGGGCTAACAAAGAAATGCACATTTTTGTAACAACCCAATCTCTATGCCCAAGTTGTAATTTAGTACTGTCGCTTCCCAGGATTCGAACAAAAGACTTTTCCCTTAAAAGATACTTAAGTTAAATCCGGGCAGATGTCTTCCATTCGAATCCTAGAGTTGCGATAAAAATTTGTGAAAGGTAAGATCGGCTCAAGCTATCAAGAGCTGACAGTATGTAAGTTAACTACTTAGACATAGAGGTCGGGTCATTATACATGTATTTCAACTTCCAAAGTCTCTTTTCCCAAACAAACCAAGTCCTAGTAACGCCAATATACTCTTCTATCACTCGTGCTAAACCAACTCCCAACAATGCCAATATATTCTTCTATCAATCGTGTTGCTCTCTTCATTTCTAATTCTCCCAAAGGCAAAATAACAATGAGATATGACTTATTTTCATCAATTAGTCAATCATCCTTTCAATTTCTAATTGATGACCAAGACTTAGCCAAACAGAGATAGTACTGATAGTTATTTTGCTACTACCTCAACACACTTTGTTGTGTTTTTCATTTTTTTTTTCCATTTATTTTGTCCATTATTTTGTTTTTGGGATCTTACTGACTCTCACTGTATGTTGTAGGCAGCCTTCTTTCCTTGTAAATTATCTCCTAAACATTGGTCATGAATAGGGTCACTACAATGTTGCTAAAAATTTTCCTACATCCCACGGCTAGTGTAATGTCTTTTACTTTTTTTTTACCAACGATAGGAATTGAGAGATAATTAAGTGGTGATATTCTTGGTTTTGGGTGGATCTAATCACCCCAAATTCTAAAAGAGTTTTTAATATGGTTCTAAATGAATCAAGTAGTGTAATAAACATATTCCAAAGCCTTAAAAGATTATAAGGCTTTAGACTACACAACTCAACTCATAGTCAACCATGAGCACAATCAAGAATGAATATGTGCTTGAATTGATCAAAAGCTACGTATAAGATAATGTGATTCATAAATAAGTAAAAATTCTGGTGTCCACATGAATCGATCAAAATTTTATCTTACATGTGCACAATATTATCATTGGATAGCGAATTAATTATTTTGTACAAGTTAATTCACACATAAACATGCATAATAAAGCTAAAAAAAAATGTGTATCTTTTTTTTTCCGATTTTTTTCCCTTTTTTAATCAAATGTAAACCTATATTAATCAAACACAAATTATTCTTGCAGATTAAATTAAAAGAAAATTTAGAGTTTTCACCCCAAAATTAATTCCTACATTGTCCTCAATGTAACACTATAAAGCCAAAAATACAGAAATTTAGTGAGAGAGAGAGAGAGAGAGAGAGAGAGAGAGAGAGAGAGTTTGGATTTGTTGGATAAGTGTTGATAGATGGGGTTAGCCTTGTAACTTGCAAAATAGTTTCTTTTTCTTTATCCCACTTCCAAAGGGGATTTTTGTTCTTCACGCCAAAATTTCCTAAAATTTAAATTATAAGCAAAATTAGCAACAATCAATAATAAATTATAATCAAGATCTATAAAAAAATAATAATAATTCAAACACATCATTTACGTATATATATATATATATATATATATATATATATAGAAAAGGTTCAAGAAAAATAATCTCATTGAAGTTACTGCTTAGCTCTCTTATGTTGATTTTGTATCACTTTGCATCCATCCTCTAAATTTTTCCTTTGCCCTTTTCAAATTAGTAGGACTGTCATTCATCCCATGATTTGCACTCATCAATGTGTAATTCAATCTCCTGCACAATGTTTAATCACAAATTCAATTTTTGAACAAACAACGAAGTTGACGGATTGCAAGCTAATTCCATTTTCTTTAAGGGAAAATTTCATAAATAAGAAATTAATTATAGCACATTTCAACAACAAGAAAACAAGTTTCAAATTTCTAAAATCAGATTTTTATTAAAAATTATTTATAATTTAATTAGTTAATTAATTATTTTATTAATTAAATATATTTAGGTCACAGATCTATACAATTTGGTCACAAATTAACAATATAATTAGTTACTTATTAACTTTTGATCACATTTCGAAAATTTTGTAAGTCACAGTTTGTTTATTGGTCACAAATCCAAAAATAATTAGTCACGGATTAATTTTTAGTCACGACTTATCATATTAT